AGAATAAATGAAAAACAGTTATGAAATACTATATGACAAAACAAGAATACAGTTTAAAGTGGTCCTATCATGCTATATTTGAATAATATAGTGTAGGACCATACCTATATAAAGGCATATTTATACTTTTTATTTTTCAAAATACCAAACAGATCATGCATTTTAGCCATTCCTCATTTCGCTCAATTTAACACTGTCTTTGCATGGGCTGATTCTGTGAGAACAGCACCATCTACAGGCCTGGCATATGTACTACAGCGTCTCCAGCGCTTTCGAACGGCAATGTCCGTGGCTGTCTCCTCCTGATTGGTGGAGCTGGCCCAATAGCCGTAGCGCCACTTCTGTGACGTCATAGAAGTGTTCAAATCTGGATCAGTCTGTATCAGATCCGTTGCAGCCCCTTTTTAAGAGATTTGGGTATGGAGGAAAATAGAGAGGGTTGTGTTTTCTGACACTTGGTGAGTTCCCTGGAACACCGGGGACACATATTCATGTATAAAAGACGTACAAAAGTGCATTTTGCATGATAGGTCACCTTTAAGTGATTTTTAAGATATCCATAAAGAAAAATCTGTTTACAGTTCTGTTTCATATGGGTGTTGAGAGATGTATCCATAGATCTCTTAATTTTATACAATTTATACAATATGTGTGCTTATGCTAACATCATAAGACAAAAGTTGGTTCCGTGTTGTAGTGAGAACGCGCTAGAGTGAGGGGGGCCCCCAAGCCAAAGCTCGCTTAGGGCCCCCAAAAGTCTAGGGCCGGCCCTGACGTCAGCACACCTGTTGTTGATGCATGTATGGCTGATGTGTGTACAGTATTCCATACCTTCTTTTCCCTGGCTTCCATCTGTCGTTTCCTCTTCACTTGGCTTCTGGCAATGCTTGCAAACTTCCTGGCCACAGTCCTGGGACGGCTGATGGGGATTGAACGCCTCTCGGCGCCCTCTACAGGAGGGCAGATCTCCAGAGCTGTGATGCACTCGTCCCCCGCCTTCTTCGTTACGATCTTTATCTTGGACCATCTCGAGCTGGCTCCGCCCTTGGCCAATTCAACATTGGTGGTTGTCGTGGCAACTGGGTCTGGATTGCTTGCATCCTGTAACAAAACCAAGAGACTTTGTTGAGAAAGGTCACAACATTTCTTCAGATATTTTGACTAACCCTAACCCTTTTGACTTCATTCACACCTTTTTCAACTTCTGTCCAAATAGAAATCTCTGTGTTTCATCCGTGTACTTTTTTGCAGAATGTTGAAAATAAAGCTTGGACTAGAAAAAAGAAAGTTGTCAGACATTGAGTACCAACCTCAGATATGACCTCGTTCTTGGTGCCGTCCTTTGGCTTTGTGGGGGGAATGAAAGCTGTGGAAGAGTCGTTGGAGCTCTCCTTTTCCTCCTGAACAGTTGGACAGATACATTGTTACATTTTGTTTCATTTAAAGGACCCTTTTATCCTAAGCGGACATGGCTTGGACTATGGCAGACATCTGGGTTTCAGTTTCTTGCCAAAAAACACTTGGACACGTGATCCCCTTCCATATAATGTGTGCTACATAGGACATATACTTGCTACCGCTATCATTTTGGGTGGTCTTTCTGTTCCTACATTTGTGACCCTGTCCGCTATCTCCCACTCCTATACAACTTTAGGAAGCTGAAGCATTGTTCAGCAAAATGCCTTTCCTCCGTTTTCACCACATCTAGAGAATTGAGTACAGAGCATTAGTCATGGATCAGGTGTTCTGCTACAGCCAGATACTGATGGTTCTTACTGATGTGGGTGGTCTCCAGTCAGCGCAATACAAGTCTCTTGTAGCAATTTCTTTGCATTTCCACTGCCATGTGATGGAATTACGGCAGGAAGTTTTGGTCAGCCTTCGTAATGTGATTAATTTGCAATATTTAAAAACATTTTAAATTATTTTTATGGAGTTAGGTTTCCAAATTAAAACCAAACCTCTGTCCCTAGTGTAATTTAGTGTAATTTAGCTTTATTTTGCTTTCAATTTTACAGAACCAGCTGCTTCTATAATTTGATATGGTCACCTTTTAAAAATATATATACTGCTACTCTGCCCATGGTGTTATTTGTTTTACTTATTGTGTTTTTTGTATTAATTACCTTTTGTTATTTATATAATCTGTTCTCATCTGCACTATACTTCTGCTGTTGTAACACTGTACATTTCCCCATTGAGGGACAAATAAAAGAATTCGGGTCAGTGCTTGGGTCAGTGCCTGGGTCAGTCCCGGGGTCAGTCCCTGGGTCAGTACTGGGTGAGTACCTGGGTGACGCCCGGGCTGGGCTGAGCTTCAGGCAGTGGCTGAGCAGGTTTGGGTTCCTCCGTCCTGCCGTTCTTCACCGCCTCCAGTGCCGTGGTGGTGGAGTCCAGATTGAGTTTGGGGGTGGAGCGGGGGCTGGCCTGAGGACTGGACTCGTTGTTGTTGTTCTGCTTCAAGAGGTGACTCTTCAGCAGGCTGGGAGTTCTGATTAACACAACAATGATTATCTTTACAAAGCATACACCGTTAGAACATCTCTGCCGTTTTTTAAATACACAAATGGATATGAGTGATTAATTGTGAACATATTATGGTAATTCATTCTGCAGCAAATTGTGTGTATGATTAATTAATGTGAAGAGCCTGGGTGAGAGGCATCTAGTGCCAGTTTGTGATTTATTGACCCATTTCTTAACTCTTTTGGTTAAACAAACAATTCCCCTTCTCTGGAAGTTGTTACATTTAAGATGAGCAGATATGATAATTGGATAATGCTAGTAGGAACCGCTACATATTCAGAAATATTCATGTAGTCTATGTATTATTAGAATGTACAAAAAGAAGTAGACTACACAAACTAGTTGCACATCACCAAATATAGTGCTCAACTACGATGTGTATATAAATGTAGAAAGACACAGTATACACAAATATGAAATGTATGATGTTAAAGAAGATTTATATTTTATCTTTGGATCTATAAAGTGAATAACGAGCGCCTCCATCTCTTGATGTTCAAACCGGCAGAATGCTGTGAAGACGGAGAGCCAACCTTTAAAGGTCAGACTTTATTGATACAAAGTTTCCAGGGTAAGAGGAAGTATGAAATCGTTCACAGTGAAGTGTGTGGTTGTCAATCAGTGTCATAGATGCATGGTTAAAGTCATAACTGTCAATCAAGAAAATATGAGTTTGGCATTTTTCCTTTTCACTCAGGAAATGATTTGTCACGCATGAAGTGCACTTGATTCCTTCGATGCTCTTACTTTATTCCCTTCTTCTCTTTTTTCTCTGGCTTGTGTTTGGAGACCCTGCTCCTCGAGGCAAGGGAAATGTGGATGTACAGGACCGTCATTATGATGACAGGAAGATAGAAAGCTGCTATGGCTGTACCAAACGTCGCCGCAGGGTTTGAAAGGAACTGTAGGAAGAAAAAAATAAAAATAAAAAAAAGGACAGAAAGAAAGAGAGATTTGTAGGTATACTTGTACAGTATAATGTTGCTGCTTAAACTGTTAATCTTTGAGGTGGTGTTACTGCACTGTATTATATTAAAATGATAGTATCTTTACTCATACATTGGGGGTATTATAGTATTAGAAATGGGAGCATAGAGCAATGTGAAGACTCCTAATCTAAATGCCTTAAAATGTAGTCTTTCACAGTAGTCTTCATAGACTTCAGTGTTTATGAGTGACTAACTGTGTGTGTGTGTGTGTGTGTGTGTGTGTGTGTGTGTGTGTGTGTGTGTGTGTGTGTGTGTGTGTGTGTGTGTGTGTGTGTGTGTGTGTGTGTGTGGAACGGTGTGTGACTCCACCTGTCTATTTTGGGGAACAGTACACGAGTGAAACAGCAAAGAGCCTGGAGACTGAGTGAGAACCCAACAGCAGCTGTCAGTGAACACTGGACCAGAACCATACAGTCTCTTGGATGCTCCATGAGGACCGCTGCAACAGGCAGGTTGAGGGCCACGACGCTAATGGGTAGCCAAGCTAGCATGAGCATTAGCAATCAATATATGCTAACACTTTTACTCACTGCAAACTACTTTTGGCTAGACAAGCTGTTTCACAATGGCATTCAGTGCATTGGGAATAAGAATGAGTGCCTAGCAGTTGAATTACTCCTATATCATCACTTATTATTATTTGAACATGTGTGCACCCATGAATATCATAATTAGCCTATGACATATTGAGATATGACCGCAAATGTGTTTTGAGACATCTCAGTACCCTTTGGCCCTATTTCTGCACACATGGTAAACAGAGGTGATGAGGTCTTTGGCTTCTCCATCAGTCACATGGCACTCCCCTTGCAGGTTGTAGTGATACAAGAGTTTTTCCACTGCATCCACTGCGAACAGGTCAAAGGTCATGGAGTAGGAGCCAACTGATTACCAGAGAAAGATCAATATAGCAATGTAAACCTAACACCAGAAACTGGGGTTAACATCGCTCAATATACATGTACTATACACTATATATGTCACATGATATTCCATCTGAGCCGGATTTATTCACTGTATGAAGACAACGATAGCTAAAGATAATAAGGATAGGAGTCAGGAGTACTTTAATCACACATGAACAGGTTGTCTTAGATGTGAGCCTTATTCCTGAAGGACAGAGAAGGCAAAAGTACACACATCCTTTACTCAAGTAGAAGTACAGATACTCGTGTTTAAACATACTCTGGTGAAAGTAGAAGTACTGACTAAACTTCTTTACTCAAGTCAAAGTACAAAGAACTTTGAAATGTACTTCAGTAAAAAGTACCCATAACTAGCAGCTGTTTTAAAGAGTACCTGACCTCCCTTTATATTAATAGAACAATAATGTCATTGTTAGCTAATGAATGTTTCCATGCTGAACAACGGCAACGTTTTCATTGTTCAATAGGCACGCAATGACTCTAAATAATAATGATCACGCCATCAAACACAGAT